ATAGAATAGAATAGAATAGAATAGAATAGAATAGAATAGAATAGAATTCTTTTATTGGCCAAGTGTGATTGGACACACAAGGAATTTATTTTGGTGCAAATGCTCTCAGTGTACATAAAAGAAAAGATACATTAATCAAGAATTATAAGGTGCAACGTGTAATAATAGTCATAGGGTACAATGAGCAATCAAATCATACTAGGAAATATAATTCATAAGGATACAAGCGACAAAGTTACAGTCATACAGTACCTAATTTGTTAATGCAATTTAGGATTGCACTGGCTTTTTTGGATGCTGCTGCACACTGCTGGCTCATATTTAGCTGGTTGTCCACTAAGACTCCAAGATCCCAGTTACTGCTATGAAGTCTGGTTCCACCCAGTCTATATGTGTCCTTTTGGTTTTTCTTGCCTAAGTGTAGGACTTTGCTTTTCTCTACATTGAGTTTCATTTCGTAGTCTACATTACTTGGTTGTCTAAACCACACTGATCCCACTGCTTGGTTTACAAAGAGCAAACCTACATCCTTTCAAATATAATATTCAAATTCTGTTCTTCATTTCTTTCTTTCTTTTTTTCTCCTTGCTCTACCCTTCCAACATAGTTTATCTCAAGAGAAAAGCAATCAGATAACTTGGATACCCTCCAGTTAGGATTTGTGAGTTTTACCGTGTAGGAAACTATTATCCAAATAATTAATTTTCCCCACTCATTATTATGACACATATCCCCAAATGTTTTAAGCTTCGCTTTTGGGGCTTTCATTAGAGTTTAATTTTTAAAACTGTGTCAATAATGCTATCTGAAAGCTAATAGCTTTAAGTTGCAATATAGATTCAGGCTGCACATTATGGAAGAATCACTTAAGTATATGAATTATTGAGTAATGGGTTGTCCAGTTGCTGCCCACATCCATACTGCAAATTCCAGTTGTTGAAGAGATTCCATTCCTGAATTTGAACCCTAAAGAAACATGGTAGTTTACATTTGAACTTCCTTAAGATGTTTTGCACAAGGGAAACACGGTTCTATGTAATTTTTGTCAGATTTCTAATTTTACTGATCGCCCCCATGGTGCTTTTTCAAGAGGCAACTGGACTTTCTGGTTTTTCTTTGAAGACGTTTTGCTTCTCATCCAAGAAACTTCTTCAGTTCTGACTTAATGGTGAGGAATGGAAGGATGTATGTACCTTGCAGAGCTGGTCATTTGTATACTTTTTGGAGAGTTATTGAGGCCACTTGGAGGTTTATCTGCATCCTCAGGGTCACCTGAGTGGTGCAGATGGGTGTGGAACCTTCTTGGCCTCCAAGTGGCCTCAGCAACTCTCAGAGAGAATGCTAACAACCAGATGACTGCAAGGAATACAAATCCTTCCATTCCCCACCATCCAGTCAGAGCTGAAGAAGCTTCTTGGATGAGAAATGAAACATCTTCAAGGATAAACAAAGAAAGTCCAGTTGCCTCTTGAAAAAGCATCTTTGAGACAACCATGACCTGCATGACAGAGAATCTCCAAAGACAAATTTTACTAATTCTGTTTTTTTTTTTTTTGGTACTGTTTGACCTATGCAGCCAAAAAAAGTCTTCATATATAGCCATGGAATGTTTGTCATTCTAACAAGACATTTTCTATTTGCTTTCTAGAATACTAGTATTTAGCAAATATGTCTGTCATCCCCACCTATTTGAATACGCTTTACATGCATTTTTATTCTATTTGTACTTGGGGTATGGTTTTCCCTAATGTATACATTTTGTGCTTTATGTTTCAGGTTGTCAAGTGTACTAAAATAACAATAGCAATAGCACTTAGACTTAGCTTCACAGTGCTTTCCAGCCCTCTCTAAGCGATTTACAGAGTCAGCCTCTTGCCCCCAACAATCTGGGTCCTCATTTTACCCACCTTGGAAGTATAGAAGGCTGGGTCAACCTTGAACCAGTCAGGATTGAACTGATGACAGTCGACAGAATTAGCCTTCAGGATTGCATTTTGACCGCTGTGCCACCCCGGTCCTTCCTTCCTTCCTTCCTTCCTTCCTTCCTTCCTTCCTTCCTTCCTTCCTTCCTTCCTTCCCACTCAACAATAGCACTGCTTCACAGTGCTTTACAGCCCTCTCTAAGCAGTTTACAGAGTCAGCCTCTTGCCTCCAACAATCTGGGTCCTCATTTTACCCACCTCGGAAGGATAGAAGGCTGAGTCAACCATGAATTGGTCAGGATCGAACTCCTGGCTGTGGGCAGAGTTTTTCTGCAATCCTGCTTTCTAACCACTGTGCCAGCATGGCTCCTTCCTTCCTTCCTTCCTTCCTTCCTTCCTTCCTTCCTCCCTCCCTCCCTCCCTCCCTCCCTCCCACCCTTCCTTAGACTTATATACCACTTCACAGTGTTTTATAGCCCTCTCTAAGTAGTTTATGGAATCAGCCTCTTGCCCCTAACAATCTGGATCCTCATTTTACCCATCTCGGAAGGATGGAAGGATGAGTTATTTTGCCATTGTCTCATTCTTAGGACTGAGAAACAGTGACTGGCTCAAGGTCACCCTGCTAGCTTTGTGCCTAAGACAGGACTAGAACTCACACTCTCCCAGTTCCTAGTGCTGATACCTTCACCATTACACCGATTTGGCTCATCAGCAAGTCCTTTCAAAACTGCTCCATGGCAGCCAAGTCATTCTATCCAAAATCCATAACAAGTAATGGAAAATATGATGTGTACATGGAAAACTCTGTGCCGCTCTTGTTCGAGTTTGCAAAATTCTCAATTTGCCCCAGGTCTCCCCAGCAGAATTCTCAAAGGATGCTCTGAATCAGCCTTTCTCAAACTTGGTAACTTTTAGACATATAGACTTCAACTCCCAGAATTCCCCAGCCAGTCAGAGCTGAAGTCTACATGCCTTAAGTTTGAGAAATGCAGAATTTGAATCCAGGAAAAATTTGGCCAGGTATGACTACAACCCGCGGAGACATTTGCAAATAGGCAGGTTGTCAAATTGAAATTTCTGTGAAAGTAAACATTGGCTGCCCACGTATGCATTTGGATAAATTCCCATGGAGGGAAACTTTAAGAGAAGAACGAAGAACATTATTTCTATTATATTCAAGGTAGGCATTTTCAAATCCCTTAATTCTCCCATTTTTATATTAGCTTAGACTGTTTCAAAAAAAAATAATAATCTGAGATTTTGTTCAGTTTTCCGCACCAAGCGATTCTTTCCCCAACATTTAGCCATTTAGATGCAATTCGCTTGACTCTAGAATGACATCATGGACTTTGTAAAAACAATTTGAGAAGAAACTTTCCTTCCAACTAGGAAAATAAATTTGGAAAGGGACGGCATTAAAAATGGAAAGATTTCTCTCCCATTTCACGAGCTTAGAGGTCAGCTTCTTCCCTGCTTTGATAATAAAGGATGTGGCATTACCGTGTTTCCCCGAAAATAAGACCCAGTCTTATATTTTTCCCCACCAAAAAAAGGCACCAGGTCTTACTTTCGAGGGAAGTTGTCTACTGACTACTCTCATTTGCTTGTGTCGCCTCCAGCCTCCTTTTTGCTGTCAGAGGCCTTTGGGAATTTTTTCTTCTGCACCTGGCAAGGCTTTCCTGAAGGCCTTTGCAGCTGATATAACAGACCTCTGGATCGATCCAGAGCTTCATTATCAGCTCCAGAGGCCTTCAGGAAAGCCTGGCCAGCCTTGCCGGCTGCAGAAGAAATGGGCCGGCAAGGCAGGTGTCGGGGTGTGCGAAGCCTGGCTACAACTGTCCAAAGGTAAGCAGTAGGGTAGCTCCACCCTCCCATTCCCACCGTAGCTTAATTTTTACCTGTCCATTCTGGAGTGGGCGGGATCTTAATTAAGGCTTATTTGGGGGGGTAGGGCTTATATTGGGTGCACGTGTAAAAATCAAGCTAGGACTTACTTTCAAGGTAGCCTGTATTTTTGAGGAAACAGGGTACTTAGAACCCTTATTATATCAAAGTAACCTGGCTGTGGCTGAAAAGCTCATTTGCTTTGAGAATAACACTGCGGAAATTGAATTTGTCCAAGCCACAGTGGATACGCAACTATTTTCTTTCAATTAAGAGTAATTTTGTCCAAAGCAAACTGAGTCACATCGGTAAACAAACACACAAAACCCAGGCCCATTTCCTTCCCCTTTAATTTACACATGCTGCCTTCTATTTCTTGCTTCCACCTAGGGAAGCAAACGTAGTCCTCAACTTACAACAGATCATTTAGAGACCGTTCAAAGTTACAACGGTACTGATGAAAAGTGACTTAGAACTGTTTTTCACGCTAACGGCCATTTCAGCGTCCCACATTTGGTGACTGGTTCATACTTATGACGGGTCACACGATCCCTTTTTGCAACCTTCTGACAAGCAAAGTCAGTAAGGAAGCCAGATTCACTTAACAACCAAGTTAACTAATTTAACAACTGTAGTGATTCACTTACAAGAATGGTCATAAAATGGCGCAAAATTCACTTAACAGCTGTCTTGCTTAGTAAAGAAGAGTTTGGATAATCATTTGTCTGAAGTGATGTAGGGTTTCCTGCCTAAGCAGGGGGTTGGACTAGAAGACCTCCAAGGTCCCTTCCAACTCTGTTATTCTATTCTATTCTGTTCTGTTCTGTTCTATTCTGATATTTTGGGCTCAGTTGTGGTCATAAGTTGGGGACTACCTTCATTAAGAGGTACACAGGTCTAGACTAACTACATCTCCATCCCTCCACCCCAACTTATGAATCCAGTAGAAGTTGGCTAAGAAATTCTGGGAGTTGAAGTCCACATATCTTAAAGCTGCTAAATTTTTTAAAAAAGGGAATAGGAAGAGAACCAGGTGTGTTGATGTTGGTAAAGAAGAGGCAGTATTTGTGTGTGTGTGTGTGTGTGTGTGTGTGTGTGTGTGAAGAAATTGAGATTTTGGGGGTCCTTTGTGGTCTCTGAATTTTTCTTGCAGACATTTCATTACCCAACTAGGTAACATCATCAATGCTGGGAGGGAGTGCTTCTTCCCTTCTAGCGCTGAAGATGTTGCCTAGATGGAAAATAACTTTATTATTGGGCAAATTTCAACCTACTTTTCTAGTTTTTTCATCTGGCACTTCTACTGACGGTGTTTCCTACAAGGAGATGTAATGGACGCTAGACTGAGACAGCTCACAAGAAAGGTTTAAGCCAACATATAAACGTTTGAAGCCGAGATTCGAACCTGAGTTTTCCAAGATTCTATTGCCTTATCTATTAAACCTAAGGGAGATGCTTGAGTAAGAAATACAAAATATAAGCAAGCAAACAAATAAGCAAACTGTAAATCCACATTGATAAGATAAGGAGAAGAAGGATATTCTACTTACAAAAAACTGCTTTGTGAGAGAAACTACAAGTTTCTTTGGGGTTTTTTTGGCATATATTTTTTATTTTATTCAAGACAAAGTTAAAATACAAAACTTCAAGGGAGAGAGAGAAAACAACAACAACATAAGACAGAACATACAAAACAATCAAAACATTTAAAAAAGCACATTAATTCCCACCTCTTGTGAAACAGACCCTCAGGAAAAAAAAAATTTAAACTGCTAATATATTTGCAAATGATTGATCTTTCTTCTATAGAATATATTAGTAACAAAGTGGATAATAGGCAAAAAAATAATAATACCAAAACAAGACAAAATTAAGGTTTCAAAACTCTGTTGTGAGGGAAAGTGACGGTTTGTAAATGCAATAGAATAATAAAATAAAAAAATAAAAAGTAAAAAAAGTAAAAAAAAATAAAGTACAATAAAATAATAATATAACAAAATAAAATAAACAATACAATACAATACACAATAAAATAATAAAAAATGCAACACAATAAAATAAAATAGAGCTTAGTTGCTCCCCAACTTTGAAAGAAGACGGGCAAAAATCCAGTGGGAATCACAACTGAAATTCTGATTTATTCAATAGAGAATCTCCTTTTTGCTCTATGTTCTCCCAGTATCCCTTCATTTTTTTATGACTCACCAATATCCCCCTTTTGCCAGCATAACAGAGTCAGGCTGGCAGGTTATAAGGGATGGCATTGGGAGTCCCATTCATAAAACATAAATGTCAGGAAATCAAAGCTATCTGTA